GGGGGGGGCGTGACAGCTCCGCTCCTCGTTTTTGCATTGAGTCGATGGTGGCCCTCGTGCCCACCATTCCACGGGTCAGCCCTCCCTTGAGTCCGATCTCCATATCGACTCCAAGTGTGCCTTCATTTGAATTGCTTTGGGTCGCTCCCCCACTTGATCTCGCAATGCATCCATCAATGCATTCTCTCGAGCGAGATCATGCGACGACTCCTCGCCGCTTGCTCGGTCCATTGAGCTTCATGGAGTTGTTGTTTGTTGAGGTACTCCTCCTCAACATGTGCGGTCCGTCGCACATGATTCTCCCTTTGGAGAGCCGGGACTTATCCCTCTTGGATAGCTGTCCCATTGGAGCAACATCTCTCTTCGTTTCGGAGACCACCATCCCCTTGGACTACTCCGATCTGCTGACCAAATTGTGCATTGTTCTGCCTCCTGCAAACGCACTTGCTAGATTACGACTCCACGTCAATACAGCCCCCCGCGGCACCACTCAAGGCCTAGCAACATGCTGAACTCGTTGCACACTTCAGCCTCCTACGGACGTATCCTTCACATGCCGAAGAGAAAGTTTCAATGCTCCATGGCGCCGAGTTTCGGTCGCCTTGGGATGGCCGCGAACATTCCATCGTCCGCATACAAGCCCATGCATGAGTACCGAATTCTTTGAGTTAGCAATTCCCCTCACCTCTGTGAGCTTTGCACAACTCTTTCGATCACTGAGCAACTCATTCCACTTTGCATGGTCTCATCCTTTACCAAGCGCCTCGCTTGCCTTGAGCACCATCAAGTATAGTTGTCAACGTTGAGCCATAGCTCAAACTCAGCCATCCCAACCTTTGTGCGCTCCGCATTCTTCCAAGCTTGTCTGTTCTCGTGGTGCCTCTTGCGCGAAGGGTTGACCATTACTCTGAATGCCAATCTCAGATGCCCGCTCCTCCGAGCGACTCCTTTTCCCTACATCTCCATGCCCGTTTTCCCCCAAACGGTCGCGCGTGTGCTGACTGCCCTCAACGCAGCCCCGCTAGGTCCCCCACATTTGCATGCTAAGTGTTTCTATGAGTGCTTGTCCCGCTCTGATACCATCTATCACGGACTTAGCTGGTTTTGCCTAAGTCGTGCGACACCCTTGCATGTCCGTCCGCAAAGGTCAGCCTCCCCGAAGCCTCCAATGTCCCTTAGGACCCACAAAAGAGACAACGGGTTAGAGAAAACGCCTCAATCGGGATCCACAAGCAAACATCTCCGAAAAACACTTCATAGACAATGCAAATTACAAACAGACTTTACAAGCTCTGAACAGTTGCACAACAAAGGGTAAAATGGTCCATTATAGACCGAGAATCTCTCGCACGTGTCCACATAACACAACCTTTATTTACAAGCCTAAAGAGGCTACCAACCCAACTAAAATGGGACTATTAAGCCTTCGGCCGCCCCTCTACATGCTGTACAAGGCATGAACATGCCAAAAGACACGGACATACATAAGCATTACATCAAACATCTTGTTTAGAAGCTTGTCTGTGACAAATCGGTGCATATATGAATTGCCACTATTCTATCAATCTATTTCATGTTGCTATATGGCACATTACTATGTGCATCATGCATATTAAAGCTAGAAATTGTTGACCCTGAGAAAGTCCCAAATTTCACAGAAATGAAAGGAAAAAAGGGAAAATTTTGTGAAAATCCCTCAATCATGTAATTTGTGGGAAACAATAGTCAATTTGTGATAGTTGTCTAACTATAGTCTAAAAGAATTATTGCTGCAAAGCTACTTCCGTATATTTCCTTTTCAGTGATGTTTTCTACATAACCATTTCGTTTAAAAAATGGTTTTCACATAAAATACAGTTCATTTCTTATTTGTCTTTTGGTCAGGGGATCATCTCTTTTCTTTGTATAAGTCTAGCTCCATATTTTCTGGGAGGGAAAACAATAACTGCAATACAAGGCATCTAAGTTACAGCTGATTGCTATCTTATAAAGAAAGAATTCATTGTCAGCAAATATACTTCTCCATAAAATTCAAGATATCTAAAGTACAGCTGAATGCTGTCTTAAAAAGAAAGAAATCATCACCAACAAACATACTTTTTCACAACATTATAGTAATCTTGCAATGAAGGAAAGAAGCAGGACGTAAATGATAATGCTTGCTGAAAAGAACAAAAAACTTCACTGGTGAAGATACTAAAATTTCATAGTAGTACACTACTTTTGCAACAATGAAAGGAAAGCCCAATAAATCTCACCTTTGTATGTTTTATAACTTATTTGCTAGCTAGGGCTTTGCATCCCAAAAGATGGGTTAACATTCAAGTATTCCAAATAAAAGAAAATACATACTTGAAATAATGGTTTGCAAATTCTGATGGACTTTCAATTCCAAACTTTATCTGAACTCTTTATGCCAAAACTTCGAAAGTAAAGAAACTATGATATGGAAGATCAATAAATCCAACAAGTTTGAGAAGGAAAGTTGTCTTTAAACTTTGCAGATGATGATAAAACTTTGAAGAAAAGTGTAACTAGCCTAAGTATTGTAACTGCCAAGGAAACCCAAAGCTAATAGAACACAGGAAATTATTAGGATCCAAAGCTTGGAATACCATTGACGTTTAGCCATTTGAGATAGAGCCAAAACAAACTTGCATTTAATTAGGCAAGTCTCTGTTACAGGCAAGCAAGATTACCATTGGAAGATTCCACGTCCAGGATCAAATCAAGAGCATAATCATAGTACGGGACTTGACTGCTTAGCCCACAAAGGTTGAAATCATCTTGTATGTATTCATCATCAACTTCGCAAAAAAACTCATTCCCTCTTAGGTTACAGAACCATGAAATCCAGGAGGTGTCTTCCCCATCAGAACCACTAACATCAGACTCTTCACTATCTGTTTCTGATTCTTCTGTGGCACCAGATATTGCAAAAATCGAAAAATACTTATAAGCAACAATATGACAAAAATCGTATAAGATAAGAATGAGTACTGTAAACAAGAAGAATATTAAACCTCGAATGATACCAAATTAACAACAAATATAAATAAAAACCAGAATATGTCAGGGAAAAAGGAGAACAAATAAAGAAAAAAATCGTCATGGTTAAATGATAGCCCAACTAAGTCTCTTAAAGGGGTCCAAAGAAATGATGGAGATGTCTGAGATAAACCAACTCTTGCTGCTAAGGAAAAATTTAGCATTCCTCACTAACTCTAAGCTGCTGATTTTAAGACCTTTAGCAGTTAATTACTATCCTTTCACAATTTCTAAAAATTTAAAATCGCTTTAAATCTAAAACTGCCAATCCAGACCAACACAGCAGTTAGATTGCTGACAAAAATACAGAAATATTTAATCCTTAAATCAATGACCCACTCGTGCAACAACTACGTTAGACTGAATGAGTAATTGAAGCATACAAAGATTCTTCTTGTACCTTTTAATCTGACAATCATCAGTCAAAGAAATCACTCTTTAGCTGGAAGTGAGTACCTTAATGAATCAAGATTGGGTAAACAATTGTTTTTACAATCCACCTCTTTCCTTCTTCCTTTTAGTTAAAGGGAAAACATCCGTTAGGACAGAAATCTGCAACAATGAACATGGTTCACCGACAGGCCGCATCCCAGCATGGCCAAAGAGTCACCTAAAGTTTAGCATGGTCGACGATCCAGTCAGGAATGTTTCCAAAGACAAGGTAGTAAAATCTCTACAAAGGTTTTTGCAATACATTGCCCCAACCAATGGCTCGAACTAACGCTTCTACAAAAGTGAACCATTTTGCATTAAAAAAACTACTGTACTTCATCAACCAACATCTTTTTAAGCTAAAAAGTATCTCTTCAAGAAGATTGCATGAAAAGTGAAGAAAAACTACAAGCAAATTTTAGCTGTGCAATAAGATCCAGAAATTAACACCTTCATGATTACGCATGAACACTTGTATTTTCAAACTACAAAAAGAATTCCATAATACTTGTACACAAGGAACCTTTGGATCCTGAAATATGATATTACCTCACGGACTCAAAATAAGGATCTATGTCACTTGTTCATTAAGCAATATCACAACCAGACTTCTGTGGGAGGTCTCCTCCCACTCAATGTGTTACTAGTTAATTGTATCCTGTTCATCAAGAACAAGGGCAAGGTTATGTCTAAACCTAATATGTTTACCAAACCAACTTATATTTGTCACTACCGTTTTTCTTATTTTGGGAAAGAGAACGCCGCAACATATGCAATTTATTTTCCCCAAATGCAACCGTCTCTTCGAGTTGCATTTGTAAGTAGGCATAAAAAAGTAAGAATCCAAACAGATATGTGGAAAAAAGAAAAACATAATCGACAACACCAAAGAGGTGAAATCTTAAAAAAAGAACAGTTCTTTTGAGACATTATATTGTCAAAAAAAAATTAAAAACAAATTCCAACATGGAAAAAAGATGGGAAGCCGAAATACAGAGAAACAAAAATTTACCATCCGAGAGCTTGCTCTTGGACAAGGTTCGATGCTCGGGCTGCTTCCCCGAGTTGACGGACGGCATCGACAGCCTACCCTTCTCCTTGCCGTTCAAACCCCTCGAAGTCGACGGCGAGGACCTCTCCAGATGCCTGTCGAGGGCATCATTGATCCGCTTTCGATCCGCGGCTCCAATCTCCACCTTCGACCCGCAACCTCCCCTCTCTCTATACATATCTCCCTCCTCTTCGATTCACTCACCACGTTTCTCCAAAAATGAAACGGCCGGAAATCGATTCACCATTCCATTCAAAAAGAAGATAAAAGGAAACCCTAAAATCTGGAGAAAACGGCAAATCTGGTGCTACGGAGCCCCCGATTTCGAGAAGAACGAGAAGAAATTTGGCGCAGACGGAGGAAAACCAGAAGAGGATTCCCGTTCCCAATTCCTCTCCTAAGGGAGGAGAGAGAAGGAAGGGGAGAGTTGAGTACTCTCTGTCTGGGGTCGAAGTGCAAAGGGGGGAGAAGAGGCAGGACGAGGAAGAGGGGCACAAAAGTAAATAGGAGTGTCCTAGTTCGTTAAGATGCGTAAATTTGATGGCATCCTGACCGTTCCTTATGGGACGACATAGTTTCTGAGAGGTTTCGCTCGCGATTCATGGATTGCGCTCGGCCAACGTGCCCACGGTCCGGACGATATTGTTGACATGCCACATTTCTGTTGGCTGACTCGGTACGTGGTGTAACGGACCAAATTCCAACAATAAATCCCTCCTTTAATTTTGCTAATTAAAATTAATGTTAATTAATAAAAAAAGATGTTCAATTAGATACGGAAGGAATTTGGAAATTCGTCGAGACTGGAACTGAGATCGCTGCATGAGAGAGTAACCCATGTAGCCTTGACCATGGTTCAAGAACCGAGGGTCTGGTTCCGATTCCAACCACTATTTTTTTTTTCTAAATTAAAAATAATTTAAAATATAAAAAAAATTATAATTTTATTTTTTAAATTTAAAAAAATAGATGTATGTTTAATATTATGACCATGTACATCTATAATGAGTGCAATCACATAAAATATTATTATAAAATAAATAAAATTATAAAATTTTTAATCACTTTTGATCATGTTTCGATCGTTCTTTCGATTAATATATCGAATAGTTAATCATACGATCTCTTCGTTTTGTTTCGTCGTCTTGGTTCAATCATTAATGCATATTTAAGTTTTAATTAATCAACTATCAAGATATATCTTACAACTCGTTCCACAACTATCTTACAGTTGATGGCATTTGTCATGTAAATTATTATTAAAATTAAAAAGATTGTTGTATATTATACTCACTATTCAAAAATAAGAAACTCTATATATGTAGTACTATCATTGTAATTCAAAAAAAAGTTAGAGCTCGTCCGATGATCCTTTTAATTTTTTTTATCTTTGTAATAATAATTTCATTCCTTTATAGGTAACGGTCAAATAAGTTAACGATCAGTTTTTTTAACTTCTATTCTAAACTTTTATAATAAATAGATAAATAATCTTAAGTCATTTAATCTAATATAAGGATAAAAAACACAAGAAACTAAATAAATCGATAATTTTTTTTAAAAAAAAATAATTTATTCATTTTGATTTCATTGCTATTTAAATCATTATCATTTTGGTATTCTTCTAAAGCACCAATAATATTAATATAATTAATTTTAAAAATATGAGTAATAGAATAATAAACATCAAATCAAGTATAGGTAGCATTATATAATTTATAAATTCTTTCATAAACATTCCAATGTTTTGGATATAAGCTAACTTATCTAACATTATTTGTAATAAAAGTACATAATAATTTTTTATACTTTTAAAATTTTTTTAAGCAATTTATATGTATAATTTTATCAAATAGAAACATCCCTAGAAAATCTTTTGGGTCTTTTACTATTTAATATTTAAAATTTTCTTCTTGTATCCGTAAGTCTAAACCATGACAAGAACACCTAACACCCGAAAAAAAACAAAAATATGTTGACACTGTTAGGACTCTAGCTTGGAGAGTCCTAATTGAGAGGGACATTCATGTAAAACTGTTAGGACTCTAGCTAGGAGAGTCATAATTGAGAGGGACATTCTATTAGAACTCTAGCTAGGAGAGTCCTAATTGAGAGGGGCATTCAAGTAGGAGGTGTTTTCTTAGAGAATAATTAGGAGTTGTAAGGGAATAGGAGTCTTGACTATGAGTCATACTAGGAGTTGGTTAGAAGTAAGAGTCTTAAGTAGGAGTCCTATTAGGAGTTAGGGTTTAGAAGCCCTATAAATAGCCATGTATTCCTTCTCTTTTGATAAGCAAGAGATGAACATTTTCTGCAGCCTTTGAGCAGCAACTTGGAGGGAGGAACCCCTATAGAGTTCCAAGGAGG